TTGAGACGGAGTTTCGCTGTTGTTGCCCAGACTGGAGTGCAATGGCACGATCTCGGCTCACCGCAACCTCCACCTCCTGGGTTCAAGCAATTTTCCTGCCTCAGCCTCCCGAGTAGCTGGGACTACAGGCACGCACCATCATGCCCAGCTAATTTTTGTATTTTTAGTAGAGACGAGGTTTCACCTTGTTGACCAGGATGGTCTCGATCTCTTGACCTCGTGATCCACCCGCCTCAGCCTCCCAAAGTGCTGGGATTATAGGCGTGAGCCACCGCGCCCGGCCAAGACCAGAGTTTTATCTTTACCCAGTTCTGCCTCCCTACAAATTGGGAGGCTAGGGTTTTTAAAGATAATTTGGTGAGCAGGAGGCTCAAAAATACCTCTGACACCAATCTTGGGCCTTAGAACAGTAATATTACCCACAGGAGCAAGTGGGAAGATTAGGAATCTTGTGTCCTCTGGCTGCATATTTCCTAAACCATAATTTCTAATATGTGGCTAATTTGTTAGGTTTTTTTTTTTCCCCCTTGAGATGGAGTCTTGCTCTTGTTGCCCAGGCTGCAGTGCAATGGTGTGATCTCAGCTCACTGCAACCTCCGCTTCCTGAGTTCAAGTGATTCTCCTGCCTCAGCCTCCTGAGTAGCTAAGATTACAGGTGCCTGCCATCACACCCAGCTAATTTTTGTATTTTTAGTAGAGACAGGGTTTCACCATGTTGATCAGGCTGGTCTTTAACTCCTGACCTTGTGATCCACCCGCCTCTGTCTCCCAAAGTGCTGGGATTACAGGTGTGAGCCACCTCACCCGGCAATTTGTTAGTTTTATAAAGGCAGTCTGGTTCGGAACCAAGCAAGCAGACAATTTCTTTTGGGAATTGGCAGCTATCACTTGTGTTTTTTGTTTGTTTGTTTGTTTGTTTGTTTTGAGACGTAGTTTCGCTCTTGTTACCCAGGCTGGAGTGCAATGGCGCGATCTCGGCTCACCGCAACCTCCGCCTCCTGGTTCAGGCAATTCTCCTGCCTCAGCCTCCTGAGTAGCTGGGATTACAGGCATGAGCCACCATGCCCAGCTAATTTTTTGTATTTTTAGTAGAGACGGGGTTTCACCATGTTGACCAGGATGGTCTCGATCTCTTGACCTCATGATCCACCCGTCTCGGCCTCCCAAAGTGCTGGGATTACAGGCTTGAGCCACCGCGCCCGGCCCACTTGTGTTTTAAAGCAAAACTAAACACCTCGAAATGTTGCTAAGACCTATGCCCAGGAATGAACAAGGGTATCTTGTAGGCTAAAGGCAAAATGGAGTCTCTTAGGTTCTCTTTCACTGTCATAATTTTCTCACTGTTACAATTCTTGCAAAGGGGTTTTCAGATGTGGAGTCATAATTTTAGCTCCTGGCAGCAATTATGTGGGAATTCATATACAGCAACTAAATCAGTGCAGCAGGATAATTGGTTGAAGGGTTTACAAACTGCTACATCAGGTAGAAGTGTCGCTCCTTATTGATTTAACTAAAAGCACTATTTCCTAAGCCATGGACACTTGAGTATAGCAATATGTGATCCAAAGAAGTTCCCCCTCTGCTTCTCTCTAGTGAAGTCCTGCCAGGCACCTTACTACTTCCACTGCCACTTTTTCCTCCTCCAAATGTGGCTAAGCAATTATTTTCCTTATGGAAAACTCCAAAGATGGGGAGATGGCTAGGCACAGGGCCACTCTGAGAGAAAGCAGATTTAGTTATACTTTTTGCAAAGGTGACTTCAGATATGGAATCATAATTTTAGCTGCTGGAAGCAATTGTGTTGGAATTCACATAAGACACTAAATGACTCAAAAAGGACAATTGGTTGAAGATTTATTAATTGTTCCTTCAAGTGGAAAAGTCTTGCCCTATTGATTTAATTGACAGCACTATTTCCTCAGCCATGGAGACTAAGTACAGCAACATGTGATCTAAAGAACTATCCACTCAGGGCCAGGTGTGGTGGCTCACGCCTGTAATCACAGCACTTTAGGAGGCCAAGGCAAGTGGATCACTTGAGGTTAGGAGTTCAAGACCAGGATGGCCAACACGGCAAAACTCCATGTCTACTAAAAATATGAAAATTAGCTGAGCGTGGTGATGCCCACCTGTAATCCCAGCTACTTGGGAGGGTGAGGCAGGAGAATCGCTTGAACCTGGAAGGTGGAGGCTGCAGTGAGCTGAGATTGCGCCACTGCCCTCCAGCCTGGGCAACAAGAGTGAGACTGTCTCAAAAAAACAAAACAAAACAAAAAACTTTGTTCTCTGTTGCTTCCCTCTGGTAATGTTCTGCCAAGTACATTAGTACGTCCACTGACACTTTTTCCTCCTGCAAAGGTAACTGAGCAATTGCTATTTCCCTTATGGAAAACGGAGTATAAATTGGAACATAGCTAGGCCAATGGAGTCATTCAGAGTCAACAAATGTTATACATCGTGTTTTCTTTTCAGTAGCTTAATTTTCACTTCAATTTTTTTTTTTTTTAGAGACAGGGTCTCACTCTCATCCAGGCTGGAGTACATTTGTGTGATCTCAGCTCACTGCAACCTCCACCTCCTGGGTTCAAGAAATCCTCCCACCTCAGCCTCTTGAGTAGCTGGGACCACAGGCACATGCCACCATGCCTGGCTAATTTTTGTTATTTTGTAGAGACAAATTTTCACTGTGTTGCCCTGGCTGGTCTTAAACTTCTGTGCTCCAGCGATCCGCTTACCTTGACCTCCCACAAAGTGCTGCGATTGATACAGGCATGAGCTACTACGCCTGGCCCTCATTTCTACTTTTTGATTATTTTAAGATTTTTGTTTGTTTGTTTATTAGAGACAGGGTTTCAACCGTGTTGCCCAAGCTGGTCTCAAACCCCTGAGCTCAGGCAATCCACCCACCTTGGCCTCCCAAAGTGCTGGGATTACAAGCGTGAGCCATTAATCCAGAAACTCAAGAGGCTGAGGCAGGAGAATCACTTGAACCCAGGGGGCAGAGGTTGCAGTGAGCGGAGATCCCGTCACCTCACTCTAGCCTTGGCAACAGAGCAAGACACAGTCTTAGCTCACTGCAATCTCTGCCTCCTTGGTTCAAGCAATTCTCCTGCCTCAGCCTCCTGAGTAGCTGAGACTACAGGCGCACGCCACCATGTCCAGCTAATTTTTATATTTTTTAGTCGAGACAGGGTTTCACCATGTTGACCAGGCTGGTCTTGAACTCCTGACCTCAGGTGATCCACCCACCTCGGCCTCCCAAAGTTCTAGGATTACCGGCGTGAGCCACCGCACCCGGCGTTTCCCATAAATTTCTAATACAGAGGTAGATACAAGGTTTCTGCAAAATGAACAAGTCATGTCCTTTCCTTAGAGTGTCCCACAGCCCTTGCCTGGACAGGCAAATTCTGAAGCTTTTTTGTCTTGCAACAATTTTTGACCTGGACATCACCATTAAAGTGGTACTTGGCCTTTGAATTTCTGTCTTATCCTTGCGAAGTTTTTTCTTTTTTTTTTTTTTTTTCCCTTTTCCACCTACACAGTGTGCTGCACAGGTTTTTAATGATATTCCCAAACACAAATCATGAGATGAGTGTGCCATGTTGAGTAAGAAATTGTTTCCAATTCAAAAAGGTAGAGCCTTTCTCACTGGACTCCTCCAAAGGCAAGCACCAGTCTGGAAAAAGAATAAAGTGGCACTTAGCAGCCTGGGAGCTGCAGCACATCCACTGCTCTCAGCAAGAATGATGCTATGACCTCACTGAGTACTCAACACATGGGGCAGAGGGATGGGTTTACCTCTGCTGGAGCAGTTCTTAGCCCCAGAGTGCCAGTGGCAGTAGAAAAGTAATTCTATGAAAGCCTAAAGCAGCACTACCTCCCACAAGACAAAGCAGCAGAGGTGAAATTAACTCAAGGCTGCAGAGCAAAGCCCCCTACAGAAGAGAGGCCACTGGGGGTTTCAGGGCTCTCCTTAAGATAAAGCTGCGACCTTCAATTTAAAGGCCAGGGGAGGCCTGGTGTGCTGGCTCACACCTGTATTCAGGAGTTCTAGACCAGCCTGACCAACATAGTGAAATCCTGTCTCTACTTAAAATACAAAACATTAGCTGGGTGTGGTGGCAGGCGCCTGTAATCCCAGCTATTCAGGAGACTGACGCAGAGAATTGCTTGAACCAGGGAGGCAGAGGTTGCAGTGAGCAAAGATTG